CAAACCTGCAACCAATTTGCCGACAGTTAGTCTGTTCCCATACTGCAGGATTTAATCAGATATAGTCCCAGGTCGTTCCGTCCACAGAATATCAGTAATCTAACCATGCAAAAACAAAAATGTGACTCAATAGAACTTTTTGTGCTAATTTCAACCCTACAAAAATTATTTGGCTAAAGAAAAAAATAAAGGACATATCAATGGTTAAAGTTAAATTTTAAAATTTTTTTTAATATTATTATCTTTTGAACAATATGACCTATTAAAAAACTAATGACGTCAAAATAAAGGTAATTAGGCGATATTTCTCTTGGTGGACATAATTGTTTCCTTTCATTTATATTTTTAAGCCAGAAACACCTAATAATCAAAATATATATATATATTTTTTTTTCTTTTTTTAATGGCGTAAAAGGTATTTAAATTATCTTTAAATTAGCATTAATACGTTTGTGATCGGTCAAATAGTTTCCGAGATATTATAAATATAAAAGTTAAACTTTAACCTTTTTTACTGGCTTTAGATTTTATTTGCGCCAAATAATCTTCATATGGTTGAAATCAGCATGGAAAGTTCTATTTAGCAAATTTTTTTTTTATTTCTTTATGGCTAAACGGTTGGTATTCTACACCACGGCTACTTCGGACTATTTCTGTCTAAATGCTGGAGTACGGGTACAGGCTAAATGTAAATAAGAAAAAGTTAACAAACAAATGTCAAATTAAACTCTGACTTTATTAAACACCTCAATGAGTACACTTGACAGTTTTCCATAAACTTAAAACGTTAAACAAAAAGTCTTCACATAATAGATGTTTTGCTATGTTACATTTAACCCAGTAAAGTCTTAATTATCCTGGAAACTGACTGAGCACCTTAAATAATTTTGACGGCCCTAAAAAGCCCCTAAATATCACCTAATTCCTCAGCAATATATATCTGTGTTCGACCAAAATTTATAAAGTTGGTCGGCTACCGTGACGTCAAGCGATTTTTCAATGTTTACTGGGCAATATTTTTAGCGATTTTTCAATGTTTAACAATATTTGCAAAGCACATAAAAAGCACAAAATAATAAACCCAATTAAGCAGTAAAAAGTCTTCACTGGATGGATGTTTTGCTAAGTTACAGTC